AGCTGATCGTATCTCGAAAATTTCGTAAGTAGGGGCGTTCGTAAGTAGAGGTACCACTATACTTGTTCCACTCTATTCTGTCCCAGTCAGACACCATTTGGAGTACTGTGTTCTCTAAATGGTGAATGACACTTTAGTATGACACTTCCAAAAGGACAATGACAGATTGGAGCTACTTCAGAGGATTAAGGTGGTGAAGGATATGGAAACCAGGCCTTATAAGAAAGAGCTAGAGGATCTTCCTTGATCTTACAGATGATGATCCAATCTTTGGAGATGTCCTCTAGTGAAGGAGAACTCACCACTTCATGTGGCAGTCTGATGTCTGGCCTTAGTCTCCTTCCTTGCATTTTTAACTCACTGGTTCAGATCCTGTCTTCTTGGCAAGAGAAAATAATCCACTCATTCTCTGTGACAAGTCTTCAGATTCTTCTGAAGACTGCTGTTGTATTTTCCCTCTCTCGGCCCACGAGGTGAGGCTTGGGTGACAAGCCGGTCAGTCAATTCTTGTCACAACCAATGGATCAACATTCAGTTGATCCGAAAAAAGTGTACCCTGCACCTGAGGGAAAAGCGCTAGGAAGAACTTTTTTTTTCAGTAGGCCAAACATACCCAGATCCTTAACCAGGCACATGGGAGAACAGCTGTCAACCTGGTTTGTGGCTGTTTGCGGCTGTCTGTATGGGTCATTTGCTTTGGGGGAGGGAGAAGCTGGATGATGAAACCAGGGGTAGGGGAGGGCATTGTGATGGTGATTCTCAGCATCTGTCAAACAAAGTCGCTTGACTTCACTCAGAGTTGGACTCTGGCTGGGCAGGTCCTTTGGAAGTGACTGAGACACATCTGAGCTCATTATCTGGGAGGAATTTGAGCTGGTTGGTCCTTGCAGCTGTGAGTTCTGCCACTTGTGCTTTGGGCCCATGCCTCTCCTGTTGGTCAAGGCCTCCCTGGATGCAACATGCATTTGGGTCAGAGTGGTGGTTAATGCCTCTTTGCAGGAGAGGATGGTACTACCTGCCTTGAAGGAGACAGTGGTATCCCCCTTCTTAAGAGGCCATCCTTGGACCCAACAGAGTTGGACTACCTTCGCCCAGTCTCCAGCCTTCCCTTTTTAGGAAAGGTTGTTGAGAGGATGATTGGTGCTTAGCTGCAGAGAACCCTGGATGAAGTGGATTATCTGGACCCTTTTCAGCCTGGATTCAAGCCAGGGTACAGTTCTGAGGTACCATTGGTTGCACTTGTGATGACCTTTGGAGGGCTCAGGATGGACCTGGTACAACTGTTCTGGCCCTCCTTGATCTCTCAGTGGCTTTCAGTACCATCGACTATGGTATCCTTCTGAACCAGCTCTGGGGATCAGAAGTGGGAGGCACTGTTTTGCAGTGGTTCTCCTCCTTTCTCTGTGGTCAGTTCCAGTCAGTGTTGGTGGGCGGGAGAAGTTAAGCCATAGGCCCCTGCAATGTGAGGTGTCTCAGGGTTGGGGTCTCTCATCGCTCCTGTTTAACATCTACATGAAACCACTGGGTGGGGTTATTCAAAGGCATGGGTTGTGGTATCATGAGTATGCTGATGATACCCAGTTATACATCTCCACCCTGAGATGGGCAAGTGATGCTGTTGTGTTGCCAACCAGATGCCTGAAGGCTGTGAGGGTCTGGATGGGGAGGAACTGGCTCTGTCTCAACCCTGATTTTGAGTTTTTGGCCCCCCAGGGTCTGGTGATGTGTCATCTTTGACTCTAGATGGGGTGGCGCTTCCCTGGACTGAACTGGTGCACAATTTGGGAGTCCTTTTAGACTCATGGCTCTTGCTTAAGAAGCAGGTGGCAACTGTGGCTTGGGGGGGCTTTGCACAGATTCATCTTGTGTGCTAATTTTTCCCTTTCCTGGACCAGGATGTCTTGGTCACAATCACTCATGCCTTGGTCACTTCCTGGTTGGTCTACTGCAATGCACTCTACATGAGGCTACCCTTGAAGACCACCCGGAAGTTACAACTGGTCCAGAATGCAGCAGTGTGCACAATGTTGGGTGACACTAGGTGCCCCCGTGTTACACCTCTGTTGCGCAAGCTGCACTGGCCCCCAGTTTTCTTCTGGGTGCAATTCAAGGTGTCGGTTATCACCATGAAAGCCCTACATGGCACAGACCAGGTTATTTGTGGGACTGCCTCTCTAGTGCCTGTCCCACTAGATTGGATAGGATGGGCATACTCCAGGTCCCTTCTCTTAAATGTTGCCATCTGGTGGGACCTAGGAAGTGTGCCTTTTCCATAGTGGCCCCTGCCCTATGGGACATTCTTCCCCTTGAGATCTGGCAGGCCCACACCCTCCTAACCTTCTAGAAAGCCGTAAAAAGTGGCTCTTCCAGCTTTTGAAGAGTGATGCTAGAGCTAGAAGGTAGCGCTGTTGGTTACATCAAGGGAGACTGGTTGTGGCTCCAGATTAGTTTAGTTTCTGTTTTTTTTGTGCTTTGCTTTTGTCTATTGTATGATGTTTGGTTTTATATGATTGTTGTGAGCCACCCAGAGTTTTGGTTCTGGAATGGGAGACCATACAAGTCTTTTAAATAAATAAGTAAATAAACAAATAAGAAAACTCAGAAACTGCATGCTGACACGTGAGAGCCATTTATAAGACCAGTACTGCAGGATCTGCATTGGCTGTCAGTTTGCTTCTGGGTCCAGTTCAAGGGGCTGGGTATTACCTATGAAGTGCATTATGGCTTGGGTCCTTGTTATCTTTCCACCCTGTCCATGCAAGCTGACAGGCCATGATGAAGATCTTTCCTCCCTGTGTAAGATAGTGTGTGCGCGCGAAAACTCAGGGCTTCTCAGTGGCTGCCCGTTGCCCTACACAGAGTTTCAGGTTAGGCTTGTAAGAGTTGCCGCATTCATCACTGAATAAAGACTCCATGAGACGCAGGCTCGTACGAAAGCAATTTACTCAGGTGTAATGT